CTTCAGCCAGCTTGCGTTGTGCCGGGGATAGATCTTTGAGAAAATGATTCTCTAGGTTATCGGAAATGAGCGACTTCTTCTTCTTCTTCTTCACCTTCTTCTTTGTCACCTTCGTGAATGGTCCGGAAAGGGAACCCGCTCCCTCCTGGGATTCATCGTCCTCCTCTTCAGATGAGTCGTCGTCGGCAGGTGTTGGGGGTCTGTATATATACAACTGATGCATTAATCGTATTAAAACTATCTCAAGTTAACGGCTGTCATGGCCATTTACCATACGGAGGTGAGTCCAGTACTGTTGAACCAGTGTGAGGCATCCAATCCTAGGGAAGTTGCTCTCATCGGATATTACATTGCACCCTTGCACATGTAGAAACGATCTTGCCACTCGGGGCGGCGTATTTTTATTTTGTTTTTTGAGTTTTTTGAAGGTGATGGTGGGCATGATTGTGTAGCAGGTAAGAAGCCAATTGTTCTTGCGCCCTAATGCCCTGGGCGTATCGATCCAAGTGAATGGAGAGCGTCCCAATGGCACAGTGTTCCAGAACACGGTGGCGACCATCTACGTGACAGACTGCAGTTCCCTAGTCCTGTGGTCGACAGAGGGAGAGTGAAACATAGAGGGACAGAGAGATGGCCGAGACATCTCTTTGTCACCTTCGTGAATGGTCCGGAAAGGGAACCCGCTCCCTCCTGGGATTCATCGTCCTCCTCTTCAGATGAGTCGTCGTCGGCAGGTGTTGGGGGTCTGTCTTTGGCAGCGGTGGAAGCCTGATCAGCCTGGGCCGGAGTGGCCTTGATAGACAAGAGCAGTTTGAACAGGGTGCAAGAACCGTACAACCTTGTAGTCGCAAACTTGAACATCCCCGTGAAGTTGATGCCTGGATAAAGAACCTCCGTCAAAATGTAGTAATCCCGTAACTTGCTGATCAAGGTAAGGATCGCATCCTTCACCGGACCGTAGGCCTTAACACTCAGCAATCCTTGTTGCGCCGACTTCCAATCACTGATGTAGGTGGCCGGTGCTGCGAATGGAAAGTCAGGTTTTGCAGTTGCTGGGTGGAGAATTGACCTCAAAGTGCGATCAACTCTCTTGGCATGAATCCTCCGAGTGAAACAATGTGGACTAGTCACTCCGGGAGACCGTTTGTCGTACTTTGCTCGGCCCGTGTACGGAATAGAAACCCTTACGTGGAAGCAGTTGAACCGCTGCCGTGCCCAGACCGAGCTTATAAGAACCGTCGCTGATCACACACAGCCGGTCTTCGAGTAGGGCTTCAGCAAGGAGGCTTTCGTCGCCATCGATCTCTATTTCTTCAGGGGTTTAGCCAACATACTCGGTCACCCTGGCTGAGGCGGCCATCCAGACAGCTAGCAAAGACGGTTGAGAGTCGTGATGCGGCTGCATCGGTGTTGTCCCAGTGCCGGTGAGGGCTAGAGTACCTAGCGAAGGCGTAATGTGGACGGTAGCTCGGCACAAGTCGGCTGGGAGTGGTTGGGTCCAAAAGGGGGCCGGCAAGAAGCTGACGCCGTTGTCGGTAGGCTCGTTATGTGGTCGTTTGCACCCGAACAATTGCGTAGAACGAGGATAGTCCCATTGAATGCTCCGTGTGGAGGGGCGACGATGACAGTAGTGTTGCCAACCGTGGCCCTGGCGGTGGAACAATCCGTGGGTAGAAGACCATAACCAGTTCCAGTTGTCGAGAGGATTGAACCATGGGCCCAGAGGATGACGCAGTAGGCGCTGGGTTCCGTCAGAGACAAGTAGTGCTCGAGTAAGGTGGTCCTGCCACAGCTTCCAGTGGTTCCTGTTGGGCCGGACAGTGCGAGGCCATTGATATGACGACCGATGAGCGTAGTCACGTTCCCCATGCCACATTGACTCCCGGATACTGCGGCCATCGGTGGTAACGATGTCGGAGACGGTGCAAACTTGGAGGAACATACGGCACCAGTTGAGCCATTTCAGAGCGTCCTGGTCCACTTCCAACTCCATGAATACCTCAATGAGCAAGGCATCGCCGTCGCACCGGAGAGAGAGGACAGGAGAGTCAAGAGCAACGTAGATATCCAAGTCCTCCAACTCTTTCCAGACTCTTTTGAGCCAAGTTTCTGACGCCAAAATTGCCGTGTTGCTATAGTCCTGCTGGAAGAGTCCAAAGGAGGTGCCAATCTCAAGTTGGTGTTCTTGAGCCGCAGCCTCCATATACGCCCCAGTTTTTGTTCGGTTGGACAAGTGGCGAAGCAGGACCTCAATATGTTTAGACACCTGAGTACCAAACGGATGGGGGATGCCCAGACCCTGGAATTTGAGAGGGGCAAGAACCATGTCACGAGGAAAGCTCCTACATATGCCGGCCTTCGGCAGGCAGACTTGGAGAACAGGACTCATAATTGACACCCATGTCGCAGCATCCAGTGTAGTTAACACCATAGGATATTCCAGGGATTTCATCACTGTTGTCTTGATAAGGGGAATGACATCGTATTTGTGTAGATGCCCCGATCGCACTTGCTCAGCCCACTTTTTGGCGATACTCTTGAGGTGGGCGACGTGAGCATGTTGATCTTCCAATGGGGCCAACATGACCCCCAAGGTTTTCTCTGCCTCATCCGGCTCCAGACGGCGTAAGGCTTCCAATTCGCCAGTCAGTCCAGGTATTTGTAATGGATGATCCGGTAGAAGTTGGTGCGTCCGGCGGAACCTCCATTTGCCCTCTCTGGAGTCCCACACAAAGTCAATCAACCACCAAAAGGACTTTTCTGGGTTAATTGCCCCTCCAGTAGCACTAATGCCTCCAGCCTACGTAGAAGCCGCTTGTTGGACGGAGTGGCATATATCCTCGCCAGATTGTTCCACGGACTTGCCCGCTTCGATCACATCCGTGTCGTCAACGAAGCAGAAGCACTGAGCGGTGATCAGTTGAGAATCAATCGCGGTGAAGCTAACACCGCAACCCAATGGACGACCCGATCAAAACACGACTTTGCGTTATTTGAAATCCAACCCGCAGAGCGGCGCTGGAGAATCAGAAGGTCCCACACAAGGCGTTTAGACAGGGCAAGATCGATCGCTTGATGGTGCTTTCTAGACCCGCACTGTCCATCGGCCAAGAGGTGATGTTCTTCGCCGTAGACCATGGCCAGGCGGCCCAGTTTCTTGTAGTTCGCTTGGGATTCAGAATTCATGAGCTGAATCGTACGCATTTTCGTCAGCCGAAAGTCGCCTGGCTTCTTTTCAATGGCGAAATTCATCAGATGCCGCCAGTTGTCAGGGACAAACCCAGTTGTCAAGGGTATGTGGCGGAAGAGAGCGTCACATTGGGCCACCATGGGAGAATAAATCCCAGTCTTGAAATGCCCCTTATGAAGCCCATGCGGTTCCGAGCCCTTATTCTCTGGATTACGGGACCAGAAGTATGTATGATCGGCCGGCGACACTTCCATCGGGATCAACGGCACTGCTCCAGGAATGACTGAGTGTAAGAATCAATCCCATCCGGCATGGGAAGGCGGCCCTCCAGAAGTGCGTGGGAGTTCCTCTCTGCGTCTGCCCCCGTGAACATTGAATACAAGGGTTCGTCCATGGGAGGAGTCGTATAGGGCGATCGAGTCTGGTCATACCTTGTGCGATTTTCCTGCATGCACCCTTGCTCAACTTGTCTCCGGTCGGTGAGAGTTCGCAGATCCACTTGTCCGGTAGGTAACTGCTCCTCAACTTGAATCGCTTGCAAACCACCAGTAGATCCTTTTGACTGGGCGCGGCGGCGGCGTCTCGCCTCCTCTCGTTGCTTCATCCGCCGTAACCTCAAAAAGCGATCCCTAGCCTTGCGCGATGTCCATTGTTTCTTCTTAGATTTCTTCACTTGAACAGTCAAGAACTCCTTGCGCCATGAAACCGCGTGGTTTTTCTTGGCATGCAGGTACTCCTTCCTGTCATTACGCAATGCCGTCTCCAATTCAACTGTAGTCTTCTTCCACGCGTCGGGCAACTTAGTCTTCTTCATAAGGCGACGGATTTTCCGCGAGCTGACTCGACATTGCTTCCTTCCCTTCAGTAGTAGCTTCCAGAGGGACTGGCGGTCCCAAAAGTTTTGGATCTGGGGAGACCACGGGACAGCCCCATTTGTAACCCTTCGACACCTCGCTTCCGCTTTCCAACGAATATCGTACATCTGCTTGTGCAAGCAGTTATACTGGCGTCCCATTTTCTCAGTCATAATCCCACTGTTTAATGTTAATTGTCTATGAAGCTGCTCCAACCGCAATGGAATGGAGTACACGTCATAGCCTTGGTGAACCAGCCGGAGATAGCGTCGAACAGCCGCTGTGTCAAGCATTGTTAATTTGCAAGGCTTATATGGTGTCTTCTCCGGACGATAGCTGCCAAGAGACCGTTCCAAATCAATATCGATCCACAGACCGCGATGATCACAGGCGAAAAATTCATCAAAGTTGTAGTAGCCACCCGCTTTAATCACCACTCCGGAAGTTGCGAAAATCCCATCAATGGGTCTGCCACGTTTGTTGCAATGCTGGGTTGCTGCAGTTCGACTTGGATGACGTTGTAGGATTGCTTCCTCCAATCCTTTGCTACAAAGTCGCTGGCGAAAAGAGGAATCCTGGTATGAGGAGACATCCTCATTAGCATTCACGCCCACAATCACTTCGCACCCCTCGTCGCGCCATTGGGTGATCGCACGTAAAAGGTCCACCATAAACGCCTCCCTTGGATCACGCTGTCTGCCTTGAGAGCGGAAGAAGCTGCGGTGTTACGCCCATACCGTAGATTCGCCCTTACCCGGGGGGTTTGGCCGGTACGCGGAGACAACCACCAAGTCTTTAGAGAACCGGCTACGTGACGCATCGGCAGCCTCGTTGACTTGGTTATCCGAGGATGGCATATCAAACTTCTTGCCTCGAAGGCGCACGTACGCCCACCTTCCCAACTTGGACG